GTCAGTCCTCATTTACGCTGGTTCAACTGCAGGAGAATTATGTTTTCGGTGTTTATTTGATATTTATTCCTCCGTGTTCGTATTCAGTTTAGAGAACCTGTGGGGTGACTGGAAGTGTTACTTTCCCCAGCAACCTAACAGTCAATTAGTGGCCTAATTTTGCACTTGCCAACACTGAAAGTTTTAAAAGAGTCTTGCTATTGGTGATCCTCCTGACCCCACCGCAGGTGTCATGTAACTATTCAACACATGCAAGATGAGATTCTCACATAAGGGAAGGCTCCAGCACAAACCACTTCACCAAACTTAAAATGAGAACCAGCTCTGGCTGGACCCTTCCCATTTTCCTTAAGCCCCCAGAGATCAATAACAGCAACAGCTCTGCTCTCGGTTTACCAGCTCCACTCTCCTCTTGGCTTTGAGAAAAAACAAGAATTTAAGCTTAGGAAGGAAGAGAAGCTGATATGGTGGCAACACTAATAGTCATGCAGACAAAAGCAGATTTCAGTTTTTCATAAAATTCTTGGCCCAGAGGAGTGTCTCCTGAAAAAAGGGAGCTGCTTTCAAGACACAAAGGTGGAGGAGGAGGGGGGGGGGGGGGGTTTGTGTGTTTTGGTTTCCCCTCACTAATTAGGGGAACCTCAGTCTTTGTAGGAACCACAGTCATGTTCAGTCACATGAGAGCTGTAACATGCCCTGGTGCCCTCGGGGCACATGAGGCCTCTCCCAACCAAACACTCCCAGAGCAACCAGAGCCAAGGCAATTCCAACGGCATGGGTGACCTCTTCCAGGCAGTGTTATAGGAGAGGCACGGAGAGAGGAATAAATGCTCCCCCTTTGCCTGCGATCCCTCACTGTGCATGTTACAGGCTCTAGGGCTGCACCCTGGGCTGCTTCCAGGGGAAGTGTCAAACACCGACCCTGGAAACTTCAGGAAAGGAGAGGCCTTCACACCATTGTTGGTACAAGTTACTGTACAGGCACAGGACAAACTCCTGATTTACGTCCCCAGGAGCTGACAATTTAGGTGCAGTTGGGTCCAGGTGAATTTGTTCTACTGATGGGGAAGCCTGTCTCATCCGATTTCCATTTCCAAACAGGGAGTCCTGATC